GATGTAAAAATATTTAAAAAGTTGAGTGAAATATACACTATTAATAACCCATGTCAGGTGATTGTGTTTTAACCAACACATTACTTAATGTTTACTTATTGATCGTATTGAATAAGCTGATGTTTTTGAAACGTACACTGAACTTTTGAATGATTTAAATTTAAAAAAATCATAGCATTTTTTTTTTAGCTGTGTAATGTTTTTTTTCTTATTGTTACAGATTGATCCAGTGAGAACAATCTCTGCCGGAAAAGTAAACTTGGGAGCTTTTAGAACCTATCCTAAGGTAGGAACTTGTGTTGGAAACAACCCAATATATATTTCAGAAAGTAACTGTTACACTTGTATGATTGAAACATAATAGTTTATAGTAACGTTGGAATAAATGAATATATATTTTTACGTATTAAATCTAAAGATAATATAACTTTAGTTTGTGCATAAAAGTAGAACATGAAGCTCAACAAAATTCCATCTAATTCAGTATCTTTATATAATTTACAATTCCTAAACACTTTGTACAAAGAATTTTATAACATGTGTTCTCTTCCTTATCAAGCTAATTTTTTATGGTTAACGAAACATCCTCCTGTAGCTTATGCTTCAGGATCACAGATCAGTTGTTATTGGCTAACACTGTACATAATATGTTAGAGAAGCTTGTTAGTTAGTTATATGAAAATGGTATATTCTCGTACTTAGCAAGTTTTGTGTGAGCTACCCAACGTGCGTTCGAAGATAAAAACCTTTTCGATTTCTCAACGTGATGTTTTTTGATATAAGAGATTTAAATTCCATTTTCTCTACTGCTAGTAAAATCAGTGACTATGAAGTACCATGAATTAACAGTGCATTAATAGAGACCAATATGACAGAAAGATGGGCCAGTTTTACGATAAACAAATATTTATATTTTCAACGTGATAAAAAAACCAATTAGTGTTGCAGGAAGTAGATAAATGTTTATTATATTATTTCCTTATTAAGGGGTACAAGCCTCCCGATGAAGGTCCGTCAGAATATCAGACCATTCCACTCAACAAAATTGAAGACTTTGGGGTCCACTGTAAACAATACTACTCGCTGGATGTCTCATATTTTAAATCATCTCTAGATCGACGTTTGTTGGATTCCCTGTGGAATAAGTACTGGGTAAACACGCTTAGCTCTTCGAGTCTTCTGACTGTAAGTATGAACAATAATGCACGTAGCTCTCCTCTAACGAAGATAGAACAAGTTTGGTGGCAATATTACAATTACTTGAAATAATTAGTAACCCTAATTTTGATCGATCAAGAAATTAATGTCATGTTTTAGAACACTTTCATTACCCCCCCCCCCAAAAAAAAACAACTAACATCGCAAGTTAAACTTGTAGCCTATATAATGTGTAAAGTTTAGTATAGTGATGGAACACGACGAGACACACATTTGGCATTTAATGTTGTTTTAGTTTACAAGAAGGGAAACAATGCCTATGTAGCCACAAAGAATATCAAAGAAGTTATGGGAAATGTTTTGATGGTTCAGCAAATTTTGTTCAGGTGACCTTAGCCTTAAAAACTGTGATGGTAAGGGCCAACATGTTGGAATCGATACTGATGTGCTGAAGACACTTGTTGAGTCTAACTATAATACATGTATGTTTTTTTTGGGAATGAAAGTGTTCCAAAATGTGACATTAGTTTCTTGATATATAATTCTCTAATTTTACTTATGGTACAGCCCAAGTGTGCTGGAAAATATAGCAACAATGATCATTGTTGCTATCAAAGTAAAGTCTCCTCCTCCCCACAACCAGGACAATCTTATTTAATTGTTTATAACATTTTTTCAATGTATCACTTCAAATGCATACTTTCATACCAAAATTGTCAGTGAAGTATATAAGATGTTTTTATTTTAATTCCCTAAATGAAATACAGAAAAAAAAAAAAGTTTTTAGGCATTTCATTTTTAATTTTTTGTTACAGAATGCAGACTACACTACAGGGCAAGTATTTGACCTCTCTGATAAACTTGAACAATCGGACACTCAGCTAGGAAGAGGTGGTTTTATGTTAGGAATTGATCCCCACGAGAAACGGACTGAAGACAAACTGACTAAAGCCACCAAAGACTGCTGTAAAACAACTATAGAAGTGATTCATGGTCTTATGTCCCAAGTAATTAAAGACAGACTATTTAACCAGGTGAAACCTTGAGGTGATGTTCAAGACTGGTTTGACCTCTTAACTGAAACAAATTAAGTTATCATGCTGTAAAGAAAAGCTATTCTACCCTAACATATACTGATGCTTTATGAATTTCTCCTTTCTGTTACTTTCAAGAAAAAAGTTAAAATAAGCAGCATTTATTGATCTTTGTTGTTAATAAATTGATGCACACGTTATTTTGATGTCTGTACGCTTAGTGTTTTAATAAAGAGTTACAAGATAATTTATGGTCTCCCCTCACAACTGAAATACAACAAGACAGTGTATGGAGCACTATAATTTATTTATACAATTAATTACATAATCTGTGCTTTCGCTACAATAAAAGTGGTAATATTTAAATGTAATGAAGCAGAAACTACCTGCAACCAAGAATTTCCAAACAACTCCACATGACAAGATTCTGTAAAATGTCAAAACTTGAAAAAGAGATCTCAACTACCCTTAACTCACATTCTGATAAAATTGTAAATATCTAAAGTTAAAGTGACTACTAACACAGGTGCTTTGTTTTCTTTACCAAGAAATAATCACAACACTGACTAACTTCACAAGCATAACTCAAGAAAAGCTGTATTGGGTGAGTTTTCACCTCACTCTACTGATGTAGTTACACCCTTTACACATCATTGGTGGTAGGTGGGGTGTATGGTGGTGGTGGTGGTTGTCCATATGGGGACAAATAAAGAGGGGACTTGACCCCCATCTCATAATCTGTGGGGAGCAACATCTGAAAGTATATACAAATAGTTTGTGAAATAATATTCTCTCTCTCAGCTTTAATAAAATTCACAACTCTGGTCTAACTAAATATATACAAGCACGACTCCCACAGATATCGAGATGTGTGTACATAAACTTAATTACATAAGATCCTTTACTTAGTTAAACCCTAAAATATAAGTATTTTTACTAGCCTAATCTACTACATTCACAAGAACTTAAAGCAATTCTGTGTGGACTGATAACGGAACTAATAAACACGAAGTATTTAACTGGGTAGCCCCAAGAGAAGATAAACTAAATGCTCTATGTTATGGTTCAAAATTGAATGTTTTTAAACCACAAACAGATTAACGTTTGTTACTTTTTGAAACGTGTGATGTACATGGGTTTTTACCCTTAAGGAGATTTCTACTTACAATACGGGTCATTACTGACTTCTGCATCCAGGATTGAATGTTTTTAAACTACAAACAGATTAACGTTTGTTACTTTTTTGAAACATGGGTTTTACATACCTCTTCCTCGACATCCAGGTAATTATCCACTATCTGAGTCATCTGTAGGAGCTTCAAGTATTTGTAACATGACCAAACCACTCCCATAAAGTAGGCCTACAGAAGAGAGACAAAATGCAACTGTTAACAGTTGTTTCTCAAAAATATAACATGTGTTTAATAACTGGAGTATGAAAAACTAATGTCACCTCTTTCAGAGAAGGTAAACACATGGTCTTTTGTGAGTATAATAACTTTGATCAAGGTTGTAACGAAAGTTAAAATCGGCATTCAACAACAAGGTCTAATAAAGGAATGTCAATAGTTTGAGAACATTCACCAAAAATATACAAGTATTATTGTTAATACAAACATTCTCTCTAAAGTATATACAAGTTGACTGTGAGAAGTAAATGGATTGTTATATGAAAGGCTAGTTAAAAAGTTAAAAACAATTCTTTCAAGAAATCTGAGTATCGTCACTCGTAAGAACCACGCTGCTAATATCCCGTGCACATGTCGGGATAGTAAATGTTGAATTTGAAGCCAACATGATTGTTGACGTGCACTACAACTGTTGAATTGATGGAGTGAAAAAAATACCCGTATTTTATAATATTTCTTTAACGTCTCATCTAACGTACTTTTTGGATGAGATGATTGGCTACGTCTCATCAACCATTAAAAATAAAACCTTTAACAGTCGACTGTTGTCATCCAAGCGAAGCTTCATTCACGTACTAGTCATTAAGTGCTTTTAAAACAGTAATACAAAATAAAATTCTGTCTTAAATGTCTGAAGCAAGATGTCGAGTTTACAGTACCATAAAGGAGATAGGACGAAGAGGAAGGCATGGGTTACACCTGATGTCTGATGAAAGCATATTAAAGTGAGAGAGAACAGTAATAAGTTAATAGCTACATATATGATCAAAATCTGGATCCCAGTCTAGTGAAGTTTAAATGTTTCTTATATAGCTTAATACATTAATGTAACAAATTTTAGAGGTAACTTATCCATGTTGATAACTGGACAAATACCTAAATACATTTAAAAGTATATTTTTCCATCAGTATATCATCAGGTATTCCTTACTAACTTATAACATCAGAAGAAAAGGATTGTCAAGTTTAATATACTCTTTTATCATCAGTGAGACAATTAGAAACGAACTAAGATACTGAAAGCTACTAGGGACAACGAACAGTACCTTCACCAACATACAGACAATGAATGCTGCCATGACAATTGCACACAACCACTGAGCATCAAGTTGCAACAGCTCTTTCTGAAATGGAATGTCGTGAGAGTTCTGGATGATCTCCCGAGGGTTGGGCATGTAGGAAAAGTAACCAATCACAGACAATGCGGAGATCATGAAGTCAAAAACTTGAAGACAGAAGAACGGCATCAAACAACTAGGACAACCCTGAAAAATTAAAAATATATTTCAAGAATAATAAAATGAAAAGTGTATTAATACATTCTTTATTTACACAAACTAAAAACTATCGCTTGGAATTATTCCATTTAAGTGTATCTGAATGTCCTGATTAACATACTCAACCCACGTTCACAGATTTCTTAACAATCTGAATGTCCTGATTAACATATTCAACCCACGTTCACAGACTTCTTAACATCTGAATGTCCTGATTAACATATTCAACCCACGTTCACAGACTTCTTAACATCTGAATGTCCTGATTAACATATTCAACCCACGTTCACAGACTTCTTAACATCTGAATGTCCTGATTAACATATTCAACCCACGTTCACAGACTTCTTAACATCTGAATGTCCTGATTAACATATTCAACCCACGTTCACAGACTTCTTAACAATCTGCATCTATTGGCTATGTATTCTTTTATATGGCAATTTTACTACCGTAACGGACAAAATTCATTAGTTTCAGAATTTATACACTTAAATTCAGTTACTTTCCATGTGCATCGAGCAATAGAACAGTGTCAAAGAATAACTATAGGGGAAGACTATTCACATGGTTGGCATACCAAACAGTAGAAGTTTGTCTTCACCAGATGTGTACTATAGTTATTTAGTTAAACACCTACCATCATGAATCTGGTCAAGAACAGAAAGAAACAGTGGCATTAGATCATGAATCTGGTCAAGAACAGAAAGAAACGGTGGCATAAGATCATGAATCTGGTCAAGAACAGAAAGAAATAGTGGCATTAGATCATGAATCTGGTCAAGAATAGAAAGAAATAGTGGCATTAGATCATGAACCTGGTCAAGAACAGAAAGAAATAGTGCCATTAGATCATGAACCTGGTCAAGAACAGAAAGAAATAGTGGCATTAGATCATGAATCTGGTCAAGAACAGAAAGAAATAGTGGCATTAGATCATGAATCTGGTCAAGAACAGAAAGAAATAGTGGCATTAGATCATGAATCAATCTGGTCAAGAATAGAAAGAAATAGTGGCATTAGATCATGAATCTGGTCAAGAATAGAAAGAAATAGTGGCATTAGATCATGAATCTGGTCAAGAATAGAAAGAAATAGTGGCATTAGATCATGAATCTGGTCAAGAACAGAAAGAAATAGTAGCATTAGATCACGAATCTGGTCAAGAACAGAAAGAAATAGTGGCATTAGATCATGAATCTGGTCAAGAACAGAAAGAAATAGTGGCATTAGATCATGAATCTGGTCAAGAACAGAAAGAAATAGTGGCATTAGATCATGAATCTGGTCAAGAACAGAAAGAAATAGTGGCATTAGATCATGAATCTGGTCAAGAACAGAAAGAAATAGTGGCATTAGGTCATGAATCTGGTGTTATGTTAGCACCAAAGATTCAAGTGACAGATTAAATTATTTTATTTTTCAGGGTGAAAGTGTTGAGGTCACAGTATTATAACAACTAAGCCATTTCAGTGGTGAATTTCACACTGTAAAAGTGTTAGCTGGTGATTACGTTGATTGATTTTACTAATCTCTTACAAAGATATGATGGTTTCTAGCTACAAATAAGAGCTAATATCATAGTCATTCATGTGGGATCCTGGACCCAGCAACATGGTATGCTATTAGGAATTAAAGAGTGGAAGAAGACTTACTCGGACGGCCCCGTACACCATGAGAGAGGTGATAAGTCCAGTACAGAGGGTAACTGCCATGGCAACATGAACATCCTCTGAAAGTAAAAGAAATTGTAAGAATAATAACAGGGATCAAAATCAGCTATGAATAGCTGGCAAAAGAGCTAGTGGGTTCTAGTGTTTAACCAGGGACAACAGAGGGACACTGTCTTCTTTTTTTATCAGCTGATACTCTGTGGGTGGTTAAAAATACTTGAATCATTTGTAAAGAATGATCAAGATTTTAGAATAAATAAATTAAAAAAGCTTGATGCAAGTACAACATTTATGGAGAAAACCATCACATTGTGATAACTGATCAATAAGCCTTTTCTGGTAACTCGTACACTGTTCAATAGGGTTCTCCAAACATTAAATAGCAAGTACAAATAGTGTTTTATTATTATTAGAATTGTTTTTCATTATATATTAGAATATATAATGATTATCACAATTATAGATCTAAAATCCGACAGTATACTCGTAAATCTAAAATCCGACAGTATACTCGTAAATCTAAAATCCGACAGTATACTCGTATGTCTAAAATCCGACAGTATACTCGTATGTCTAAAATCCGACAGTATACTCGTAGATCTAAAATCCGACAGTATACTCGTAGATCTAAAATCCGACAGTATACTCAAAAATATTAATTCAAAATTACAACTTCTCCAGTAAATGCACATCATCTGATTAGTTATACCTACTAAAAACACACATCTCATGAATTATTTTTTTATCCAGTGTGGGCAGCACTTTTGTGAGTAACTTTTAAAATAACTAGAAAAAATTTGAAGGTGGCAAAGAAAAAGTTTCAAGTTTTTAAATAGATTAATTAAAAAGATTTTAGTGAAGAATCCATTGTCAATCCCAGCCATCACTTTAAAGGCATAACGGATAATGTCTGTGGTAATATCTCCCAAATATCCCATCTACCAGACAAAATCCAAACACTGATGTTAAACTAGCCAGCAAGCACGGAGAATCAATTAATGGTACGGAGTTGAGTGCTCACACCCACAAGGTCTCAACTCCTACTGCCTTTCACTGTATGCAGCCAGTAAAAGTTTCATATTACTTCAATTTTAATGTCCTAAATTTTACATTACTTAAAACTACTATTGGTAACTCAACCCATTTTCACGACTGATCCATTTCTGAAAGAATAAAATATACACGCACTATAAAATTTATAAAATCGAATGTCAAACCATTCTATGTTCAAGTCAAAATACTTCCCACAATGTTTGAGCTTTCCTATACTTTTCTATCGCATCTCCATCTGCTCACAGTCTTCAAATTTCACTCATTACTTGTCTAATGAACATTCGTTTCTGCTTGAAAGGTATTATAATACTTTTTAAAATGTTAAGTCAAACCAAACAGTTTTTTGAATGTTAATTACTTACACTTATCTAGTGATAAAGTAGATCAAAGTTTCCTTTTAAAGTTCATGATCGCAAAATTAGATTAACAAGGTGCAAGATGGAGATTTGGAAGTGTCCCATACATCTTTGTTTAATAAAAACTGGTTCTTTTTTAAAGTAAATAATCGTGCATTTCTTTTTATTCGTTTGCTTTCAGATATTCATGCAGATTTTCCTTACATTTATTAATTGCAATTGTATCTATTAAGTACGTTTTTAAAACCCACACGAAGTAACGCAGAAACGTGTGCGATGTAACGAAGGTCGACAAAAAACAACAATTCGCCTACTACAGTTAGTCGAATATGACCTAGTGATTAGGCTACGGAACCTAATGTCTAAGGCCCTAACTCCTATACACGCTCCACACATCTATGGAAGTTATAACTGTTTTATTCCCTGCTTACTGCCTGCAGTTCAGGTCGAAAAAATATCAAATTCACCTACTGTAGCGATATTTGAGCTAATCATCCCTAATTTTGAAATAATAGATGAGAGGGAAGACAACTAGCCAAGAGCACCCACCACCAAACTCTTATTTGATCAAATGGTGGTGTAAGACCTATCACCTTTACAATGCACATACAGTCCCGAAGAGCAGAGCACAATTTATTTTTTGCAGAATGATGACTCCAAGGATCCATGGTCCGGCAAACTAACCACTGGATCAAGCTCAGCTATTGTTTCCTTTGAAAGAGATCTGAATGTTTCTTTTCCAATTTCTTCTCTGATTAACAAAAAGAAAATATACATTTAAGTCACACTCAGACAGTTCTTGATTTTGTGCATAAAACACGTCCACTGACCCAAACTACTTACTTAAATCCCACTTCCATTCTCTCAAGAAAGCGTAGTCCCCTGCTGGACCTGCACTTAGCTCGGGAAGTTCGGGCAACTGAGAGTTTGGATTAGGTTTCATCCCTCCTCCATGAATTGAAGTGCCCAGCTCATCGGTGTGTATATCAGATGTCTTCCACTGAGCCAGCTTTTGGCACATCAGGTCAGGATGAAAAACAATGCTTGCCAGGATCCCCAAGGCAAATACATGCAAAACCTAAAAATATTCATAACAAGGATAATCTTTACTCTTGTGAACAAATTTCATCACGTATCTAAATATTTTTTAACCTCTAGCCAAAGGTTTAGGGTATACAAGTTATAAAAAAAAACTTTGGGTCAACTTACGAAGGGTTATCTCTCTATCTTTGTTACATTAGAGAATATATAATAGAGATTTTATTTTTTAATTCTCTAGCTGGGAGTAGATGCGTTTCTGTGAAACTAATTAACCAGCACGAACTGCATTAAGAGATAATGAGAATTACAGCTGTTATATACACACACACACACACAGAGAGAAATGAACATGTGTTAGTACGAAAAATAATTTTTAATGATGAACAGATTTAGTGTTTTTTAATGTCAAAATAGCAGCTAAATAAATATTTCAGACAAAACTAATGTGGTACATAAAATCAGACAGTACCAAAGGATAATGTTTTAGAGCCTAAATGACCCATAGTATCGGTCATCTGGTCAAAAACAAAAATTTTGTTCACCTGATCAATAGCAACATTTTCATATGCATTTAATCAATAATGTTTTAAATTTATCTATTTTTTTAATCCAAAGTATTTGGAATGTATATTGGATTTGATTTCATTTGGTTTTCCTCTCAATTTATACGAGGAAAAACCATACAAGGTCATGGAAACATCTGAATTGAGTAAACTTTCTCTGAAGCGTAAAGCCTTTTGATGCTTGGTTGGCCTGAAGATGCTCAAAAGTATTTTACATGCTGGTACATCACATACATCGAAAACTTCAGCCAAAATCAGAGAAGAGGTCAACTTGAGGAAACATCACTACAAATATGGTGACAAGATCACCCAGAATGAGGTCTTTCATGATCTCACATCTGATCATCCAAATACTCATCTATAAACCTAGTCGGAATGCTACAAAGGGTCAGACGTAGATAAAGAATTACTCACACACACATATGAAGGATTATCGAAGTAGAAAACAATCAAAAGTAAATAATATTAAACATTAGAACACCTAAAAACCCGTTAAAGTAGGGTCAGGAAAAGAATGATATTTTTAATTATAATTTGACTTTACACAGAAAATATTTAAACAGATTTGTCCTAAACAATCTACAAGTAATGCTTGTCGACATTGCGAATCTTTTCGAACGTGCTTCAAACGATTCATATTCCGCAGTAAAACAATTTGGTTGTTCCCATAATAATATCTCTAACTTAACGAATTTGTGTGGACCTTAAGACCGACTACTTTGGTTACAATAAAATCTGATACCTTTAAGGTTTTAAGTTTATTAACGAAAAAAACAATATTTGCCTACGTGAGCCTATAAGCTCATTACAAACTGAAACTTTTATTAAAACTCACAGATATGAAAAGTAAAATCATCTTATTTTTTAACCTATAACAAAATGGTAGGGATTAACATTTTGTTGGAAACTAACTATTAACTATTTACATTCTTCACGGCAATGTTATACTGGTTGAAACTACAAAGTTATCCGTTATACTTGAGCATTTCAGACACTTAGCTTAAGCAACAGCCGCCTGAACCACCTGGGTTACTTATCGAGTAGCTGTCTCGGCAAGAAGGCAAGAAATCAGGTGGTGGCTTGATATTCTTCTGATTTAAATTAACATAAGTACTTTATCCACCCACCAACTCCCACAGGTTTCTGGAAAGTAACTTGTATACACATTCCTAAACAGTATGAATATTAAAAGATCCTAAGTTTTAAGGAATGATACAGTAAGTGAACAGTTATGATAGCTCACGATCTGATATGTATTTTAAAACATAGGAATAACACAGAAACATCATCCTAAACCAACAGACTTAATATAATGCATTATTTAAATCAGCAACCATCACAGCTCTGAGTATAAATTTACAAACAACTAAAAACCTAAACTTACCAAGTGCCAGATTCCAAGAATTATGGATCCAGTCCGAACGTGACAACACAAGCAACAACGGAATTCTCCTTTCCCTTCGATATCCGACTTCTGCCTCATAATGATGGCTGGAAGACAAATGGAATAACCAATGAGAAAGCAAGTGCTCCTACTGATTATAAATTACTAATTCCTCACCTAACGTAAGTTTACATGACACTAATGATAATTATATATTACTAATTCCTCACCTAACGTAAGTTTACATGACACTAATGATAATTATAAATTACTAATTCCTCACCTAACGTAAGTTTACATAACATTAGTGATAATTATAAATTACTAATTCCTCACCTAACGTAAGTTTACATAACATTAGTGATAATTATAAATTACTGATTCCTCACCTAACGTAAGTTTACATAACACTAATGATAATTATAAATTACTAATTCCTCACCTAACGTAAGTTTACATAACACTAATGATAATTATAAATTACTAATTCCTCACCTAATGTAAGTTTACATAACATTAGTGATAATTATATATTACTAATTCCTCACCTAACGTAAGTTTACATGACACTAATGATAATTATATATTACTGATTCCTCACCTAACGTAAGTTTACATAAGACTAATGATAATTATAAATTACTGATTCCTCACCCAAGGTAAGTTTACATAAGACTAATGATAATTATAAATTACTGATTCCTCACCCAAGGTAAGTTTACATTTACCTAAACTTTTATAATTTCATGGATTTTTACTTCTATATTTCAGATTCTTTTACTCAAACAAATGTCAAGGTATATTATTTAAAAGGAACTCGTTTCATTGCACTCAAAAAATCAATTGTAAGTCTGACCAATTACCCAATACTACTCTGTAACAAGATAATGTAAATACCAAGATTCAATAACACAAAAAGTAATGCAGCTCCTAGGGGGGTTGTCAGACAAGACAGAAAACTAATCCATGTATCAGAAATAGAATACAGAGGGACCATCTGATCTTTCAAGGTTGTCCCTTTACAAAATGCAAGGGACCATATTGTCCCTGCACAAAAATCAAGGGACAATTTTGTCTGTTAAAGGCTGTCCATGTACAAAAAGCAAGGAACTATCTGGTCCTTCAAAAGACTGCCCCTGGACACCCACTCTTGAGAACAGTAAAAATTTAAAAACAACCTTTACTGTTTAAGAAGTCATCAATTTCCCTATTATAGTTTCTGTAAAGTGCTACCCTTCAACATAGCTCACAAGAATTCATGCCAGAAATCAATTACCCTGTTACAAAAATAAAATTATCTTCATTAGAGCCTAAGCGGTCTTTCACAAATCTTAAACTCGTGTCGTCTTGTCCTATTGTCTTCAGAATATAACACAAAGAAATCAAATGTTTTTTTATCCTATTGATCCCCCGAATAATCTCATAAACTTCAATAAGATCACCCCTTACTGTTCTTTCCTCAAGAGAAAATAAGTAGAGTGATCTATAAGACAACCCTTCCATCCCAGTAACCATCCTCTAACCTTTCCAATAAGTCAATATTATTTTTTAAATTAAAGAATATAAGATGGTATACAGTATGCAAAGTGAGGCCTAACTAGTGATTTGTTTTAAGATAATTTCCTTTTTGACTTTTAATTAATATGTCTACAAACACATCCTAAGGGGTACAGACTGATATTTAAAAAAATTCCAGTCACTAGCTTGTTTATTTTTTCTTATTGTTATTCAACTTTTTCATCCTGTTTCTATAAATAATAATATTATTTTGACATAATTTTTCAAAAGATGAGAAAGCTTTCATTGCAGGTAACTATAATATAGGTTGCTGGAATGATTACAGATAAACCTCAGAATGTTATCGGCTTACGTTCCTAATATAACATTAAACATGTACTACTGATCCTTTTTTTTTTCAGTCGTCCTAATGAGTAGGTTCCCATCTATATTTGACTTGTAAAACAAATTATGATGAACTAAATGCATTAATCCCTCCAACAAACCAAATGATCCAAGTAATGCTATTGTATCTCAGCATCCTCAATAGTGTTAGAAATCCACAAGAGTTTAGTTTCATCAGCAAACTGTACTAATTATGCCTATATTTAACGTGAATAAGAAGAAACAAAGATCCAAACTCTTACTCCTGAGACACTCCACTAGTAACAGGAGTCAAAGATAATTGGACTTCACTCCATTAATAACCTTTGGATTTTCACATCCAACAGCCATACAATCCAATTAATTAGTCTTTTTCAAACTCCTACCAATGTGACTTTCGTAGCTAATCTTTTGGGTGGCACTTTAACAAAAGCATTTTGAAAATTAAGTTAATTCCACATCATTTCCATCATCCAGACAACAAGTATCCCCCTCCTCCCCCACACATACACAGAGAAAACAAAGATAACAGATAAATTAGTAAGGTGAGATTTCCCTTTGATTTTGTTGCCTATCATTTATATAATATTTCATAAAATAATTATGTACAATTTATTTTATCAGATTAAGATTTTTTCAAACTATACTAGTAATTTCCAAGACAATTTTTATTGTCCCTTTAAAAAAATAGATGCAACATCAACTACTCTCCAATACTCAGGCACCTGCGCACTGTCTCTTGACCTTCCAAAAATGAGAGGCTAGCGTACCTGATCTTTGACCTCCTGGACAACCTTGTTTGGTTTTGGTATTTATCTCTTTTCGATCTTCATACTTACCATAAAAAATCAATATGTACATGATTCAGGCCAGTTCCAATATTTCCTACAGAAATATTTCAAGCATTATCACTTGTAAAAATGGTAGCAAACATTTAAAGGTTCAGCTGTGTATCTCATACTAGTCAACAAAAACCTTTACCATCAGCTTCCTTTAAGGGCCCAGCTATTTATCTCATACTAGTCAACAAAAACCCTTACCACCAGCTTCCTTTAAGGGTCCAATCTCCATTTTAACATTTTGCTTATCTTTAATACACAGTTCACTTGTTATGCTCTAGTCTCCTACTTCCAAACACTTTTGTATTAATTGCTAGCACACAGTACATAGCAAATTGTCTAAAATGGCACTAATGTTGACAGATGTATATAAATCTTTACAACATCTCTAGAAACACGGTCAGATAAACTGAGAAAAAAGAAGATAAAATTACACAACTAACATACAGAAGAGAGAAAATGAAACTTATGCAAAAATCTGGCCAAGCTTAGCTAATTATACACAGTTAAATTCTCTTCAGTGTCTTAATGCCCTAAACGATGAGTACCAAACAAGTCTTCTATACCTAGAGTAATGTATAAATTACATCAAGACTCCTCACATTTGCCATCTATGCCTTATTTAAAATGAAATGTATGATATACTAAGTATATTTAAAGTATAGAGTATAAGCATTAAGTTAAAACATTAGAAATTCAAGTTTTGAAATTTTACAACTAAACAAAAATTTAGCTTTTTGAGACTAGGCTCAAACTTAGCATAAGCATTATGCCCAATATTATTTATACTGACATCTTCGTAGACACTAGAAATTATATTAGTAGTATGAAATGTACAAACACTCGATTGAATTTTTCCAATGAAATAACACTGCCATATAACTAGCAATATCTGACAACAGTGATGTCAACGTAAATATAAAAAAATGCTGCTGGTAACAATAAAAACTGTACTGTTGTTAGACTTGACTAGTAGTGCAAAAACCTATGCACTGAATCATATTATAATTACTACCACTAGCAATACATTACTATAATAGAGGTTAACTGCATTACTATTATTATTAATAATGCAAAAATAAAATCCAACGACTTTATTTTAAATTGAAAATCTAAATGTGATGAAATGCACAAAACAGGACTAAATATATTATAATAAAACACACTAAGTGTAATTTTTCATTACAGTAATAATAACAATAGTCTAGTAATACTAATAATAACACTAACAGTTCACTCACTCAGTTCTACAACTGACAGTGATAGTATTACTCTTAATTTCTGACTGTGATTCTTTAGTTTAACTTAGTCTTGGCTTAAATTTATAAAGCTAAAAATAATGAATCAGTGTAGACCTATGCTATCAATATAATTAGCAAAAAAATGATTTGAACAAACGTTAACACAAAAAACAAACAAATGCAACTCAAAAAATAACCCTTCTTTACACTGACTTGGTTTTTCGTAAGCTAATAATGATCTATTACTGAGTATTGGTATTATACTATTAATATCAGTTTAACTCCTCGTAGTAACAACTCCCAACTTCAATTATGCCTAAGGTTCCTGTTCCGAAATACGCATGCGCATTTGTTTTAATATTTCCACCTGTATTATAAAACATGTACCATTGACTAGGCAAAAAGAAAATTTTTTTTGTCATTATTTGTTGTGAATAATAGCACATAATAATTATTTTAATTTTTTTTAAAGGGCACTACCCCTCTTTTAACAGCAGAAGAGAAAGTTCTTTAACGAAACTTTTAACAAAGCACGCTTTAAAATGTTTAGCACTGTACGTTTTTGCATCTTATGTTGACAAAATGTGGGAAAGTTATTTATTTTCACAATCTGAATAAAAATTCCAACAGGAGGCTAAACATCGACAACAAGGGCTAAATATTTTCTTTTTATTATTATTTAATCCAAAACAAGCGTTAATAAAATTAAATCTAAAGAAAAATTTTAAATGTCAACATTTCCAAAAATTTGTGGGGAATTTTACGAAAGTTGATGTCATAATATTCCACTTAGTGATTATCTGGGAATTAGTTCAAATATTTACTGTTATCGTATTACATTCGCTCAGAAAAATTTATAATCTTAGCTGACCTACCACTTTTGTAGTCTTTCCGGCGATGCTGTTCACGCGGATTTTCTTTATCAGAACTTTGATTTTATCAGTTTTAGTTTTGTACTCATTTGAAAAAAAAAAGAGACCCAAAAGCATATTTACTCAGTAACAGATGGGCGTTTAAAAATTGATTTATTAACAGTTCCGAGAAAAGCTTGATTTCTTTCTGCAAAATGCGTAACTCTTGTAATGGTCTTATTATACAGACGCGTTATATGCTGCGCTTCGGTTTTGATTAATGTTTGGGTCATGGTATCTGCTGTAGAATTCTTATCAACGAGAGTTATGATTCCTTCCATTTCATAAAACATTCTGTCTGTAAATTACTTTTCTCATAATATTATGGAGTCTTTTTATATCTTGCCAGGAACAAGAACTTTCATTAGTCATCTGCAAATTACAGGAAAACAGTACGCTGTGGCGAGTTATAATGTTTGTTTGTTTTTGAATTTCGCTAACAGCACCAGAATGTATTGGCTGCTGATTTGGGAAATCTCTTACTAGGTATGAGGCATTCAACTGAGTAGAGCAGTCTATCTGAGCGCATCCACAGGAGTTTCTGCAACATGATTCTTTTTCTCTTGCAACCTATTCAAAGCTAGGACTTTAAGCCTTGTCACCGCACAAATTGTATCTGTCAGGATGAACAGATCTCTCACATCCAAGTTATGTCTCATTATTTCACTGGGAAGCATCTCTCTGAAGTTATTAAGAAGGATATTCTTCCCATTCAACTGGCACTCATCATTTACAAAAGCATCAAGTTCTTTGAGGGACCTCTCTTTCGAACCTTGAACTTGGCCAAAAGGATAGCTCAGTTCTCCACAAGATCAAAACATCCATGAAACTCAGCTACAACTGTATCTCAGTCGTCCTTTGTTAAATACCACAATAACTGAACAGTCTAAACTCAGGGCCAGGCATTATATTACCTGTTCCCGAGTACAGTGATTCTAGGCAATGATCTCCCTAAAATACTTCAGGGAACAGACCAGATCCTGCTATAAACATCGAAGGTGATATTTGTTCGACCTCTATCATGGCTACCCGTGATTCCCATTTGCCCCTGAAGAAGAAAAGTCCACTTTTCGAAAGCGCTCGGGTTATAGAATTTTTATTCATTTCTATTAAGACTTCTTAAACCTAGATGTTTTTCTAACATCATGTGGTTTTGGCATAAACCTTTGACTCATGGACTCTCAGTTAACACCTGATCAAAGCATCCTAAATATTGGTGGTGCATTGGAGTGAGCTTGTACAGTAAAGTTAGTCAAGTAGAAATAATAAATAGTTGATGATAAAATAAATAATATTGTGTGAATAATCTTTACCTTAATTCTGATTTGTAAATGACTGGTATAAAGTTAATAAGAATTACATTTCAACAAGTTAATCTAGTTCATACTATAATAGTTGTTGTTCATACAATTTGATAATGTAAATAACATCTTAACAACTGATGTGTCTGTATCATCTCAACTGGTCTGATGAGCTTTGGCATTGGGCAAAAGGTCTCATTGCCACTGGATCTAGTAGATATAGTGTGGTTGGCATAATGTTTGTATGTCCTCCTTTACTTTCGCTCTTAAGATATTAGAATTAGATCCCGGCCTTCATCTCTGCGTGACCCCCAAAATTTTCTATAACACATAGAAGTACAATGCTGCCCCACAGATCACCACCTTCACCAGTGCTTGCCTGATGTCTCACCTGCTGGTGAAATATGTCCATTTGGCGATGTCTTCCATCAGCAGTACTTTCAGTTTCTTTCTCAGCCAGCCATGAGTGGCACAGATCACAGTTATGGTTGAACTACTCTGGATAGCAGATGCTTGAGAGTCCTATAGAGACCAGGACTCAGTTTCGGACTCTCAAACCACTGTAACTATCCTCACCCATCCATGCCCTCTATGGATTGAGGTTAAACTTTAGGGGAAAATTTTGATTTGCCATTCTTGGAGCACCAGATTCCAGAAGTTCTCACTCCGCAGACTACAGCCACAGAAATAAATATATCAGGGTCCTCTGGGGGGTATTAGTGAAAGTCCGATGTCGAGGAAAAGACTTTCCCTAGACCTGACAACTATCTCTGACAGCCATTACACCTCAGCACTTAGCTCTTCCTCCTGATGAGGAGTTCTCCAACTCCTGAAAAATTCCATTTCCTAGAATTCGAAGCTTCTACTCAAAAATGCAGGATAAGAAGAACAAATATACAAATCAAGAGAAAAACAAACCCCATAAAAACAAATCTGCAGTCATGGCACCAAATTTTCTTCTTCCTACCTTGCACTAATAACCCTGATGAAGCCTCAATGGCGAAACGCTGGTTGAAATAAAATGTTTTCTATTATTATCTGGAGTGTAGAAGTCTGCTACTGTTTTTTTTTCCAGATTTATTGCCAAAGTTTCCAAATCCCTCTAGTATGCATTACAAACTGTGAAAAACTTTTATTTTGTGATAGATATATACATGCATTTACAGCCTAATGAATAATTCACAAAACGTCTGAAATTGGATTTGAATAAACGCCAAAAACAACGGAACCGTCTTCACGATATTAATGATGATCCAGCACAAATAACTTATTCTATTTTCTCATTTTTATTTAGCAGTGAAAGACTAGAGGGAAGGCAACTAGTCATCACCACCCAACACCAACTTCTGGAATAATCTTTTAAAAACGAAGGGGGGGGGATTGCTTTTAATGAACATATGCATATATATTCATGAAAATTTTGATCTATTTACACAACTAATAAACGTTTGCGAGTTAAATTGTGAGTATGATACAATAATATTTTAATTTTAAAAATTCCAGTGATGTTGTACTAATGTAAGCCTACTTTTGCTTCAGTAACTTCTGTAACGTAATATATATATATATATATAGTGTGTGTGTGTCTGGAAAGGCAAATATGAGATGATAATCATATGATACCATTTAATATGTAGCCTTTATCTCGTCAGAATATAAAAAAAAATATATTAAAGGGGGATGAAATAATTCTCACGTACTTTTGAAACAGGAGATTAAATAAGTTCCAAAATAAAAAATTAAATTAAATTTGTGACAAAAAAAAATCGTCACTAAAACAATAAAAAAAAGTAAATTACAGAAAAATAAAACCTTGTACAGAAGTGTACACATTTTAGTCACAGTGGACTTGCTAAGCTAAAATCGGGGGTTCGATACCTCACCGTGGTCACAGCAGCCCAATGGGCCTTTGCCATGACCCAAACACTCACGATAACATGAAACAGTGAAATAAAGTAAAAACAGATGAAAAAACGGGGTGGGAGATTTATAAATATAATCCACGTACATAAACTTGTTTATAATTAAACCACAAAGCTACACAATGGGCTATCTGTGCTCTGCAGGGACGGTTAGCGCAGATATCTCTCGAGTGCCTTTGCACAAAATTCGAACAAACAGTAGAAAAATAAGTTCCACATACATATTTTTCAATGGAGTTCTTTTGTACATCGCCCCACCCCCTACCCCCAGTGGTACAGCGGTATGTCTGTAGACTTACAACGCCAGAAACAGAGTTTCAATACCCGTTGTGGGAAATAATATAAAACAAAATCCATTAAAACAATAATGTTTTAATGTGATTGATGGTTAATACCCATTTGAGTGAGTAATAAAGTATCCCAAGAGTTGGCGGTGGGCTGTGTTGACTAACTACTTTCTCTCTAGCATATCACTTCTAAATGAATAGTTTACTTGAAGTATAATATTTATTTATTTTGAAAAGGTATTTTTCATGGATTTTGTTTTATATTATTTTAATAGTTTACTTGAAGTATAATATTTATTTATTTTAAAAAGGTATTTTTCATGAATTTTGATATCTTATATGTTTTCATAACGCATGTTAAACATATTATTTATTTATTTATTTTAAATACGGTTTTTTTAGTAAAATAGTTGTGGAAACGCATACATACAAAGACAGACACACGTGTTTTCACATTCTACTTAGATGTTTATGTGTAATTTTAGTTACGTCTTGGAAAATTATTCAAATTAGATGAAAATAATACAGTAACTAGAATAAATTATTGAAAACTTCAGTGGAGTCAACATCAGGGTAATAATATGAATTATAATGTAAAGTAGTCGACATTAGGGTAATAATATGAATTATAATGTAAAGTAGTCGACATTAGGGTAATAATATGAATTATAATGTAAAGTAGTCGACATCAGGGTAATAATATGAATTATAATGTAAAGTAGTCGACATCAGGGTACTAATATGGATTATAATGTAAAGTAGTCGACATCAGGGTAATAATATGAATTATAATGTAAAGTAGTCGACATTAAGGTAATAATATGAATTATAATGTAAAGTAGTCGACATTAGGGTAATAATATGAATTATAATGTAAAGTAGTTGACATCAGGGTAATAATGTATTTATACACCACTGTTAATACCA